AAGAAATAGCTAAGATCAGAGCAGAACTGAAGGAGATAGAGACACAAAAAACCCTTCAAAAAAATCAATAAATCCAGGAGCTGGTTTTTTGAAAAGATCAACAAAATAGACAGACCACTAGCCAGATTAATAAAAAAGAAAAGAGAGAATAACCAAATTGATGCAATAAAAAACGATAAAGGGGATATCACCACAGAGTCCACAGAAATTCAAACCATCATCAGAGATTATTACAAACAACTCTATGCACACAAACTAATAAACCTGGAAGAAATGGACAAATTCCTGGACACTTGCCTCCTGCCAAGCCTAAACCAGGAAGAAGCCAAAACCCTGAACAGACCCATAACAAGGTCTGAAGTTGAGGCAGCAATTAAGAGCTTACCACCCAAAAAAAGCCCAGGTCCAGATGGGTTCACAGCTGAATTCTACCAGACATACAAAGAGGAGCTGGTACCATTTCTTCTGAAACTATTCCAAACAATACAAAAAGAGGGAATTCTTCCCAAATCATTTTATGAGACCAACATCATCCTGATTCCAAAACCTGGCAGAGACTCAACAAGAAAAGAAAACTTCAGGCCAATATCCATGATGAACATAGATGCAAAAATCTTCAATAAAATACTGGTAAGCCAATTGCAACAGCACATCAAAAAGCTTATCCACCATGATCAATCAAGTAGGCTTCATCCCGGGGATGCAAGGCTGGTTCAACATATGCAAGTCTATAAACGTAATTCACCACATAAACAGAACCAAAGACAAAAACCACATGATTATCTCAATTGATGCAGAGAAGGCCTTTGACAAAATTCAACAGCCCTTTATGCTAAAAACACTCAATAAGCTAGGTATCGATGGAACGTATCTCAAAATAATAAAAGCTATTTATGACAAACCAACAGCCAATATCATACTGAATGGGCAAAAACTGGAAGCATTCCCCTTGAAATGTGGCACCAGACAAGGATGCCCGCTCTCACCACTGCTATTCAATATAGTATTAGAAGTTCTAGCCAGAGCAATCAGGCAAGAAAAAGAAATAAAGGGCATTCAAATAGGAAAGGAGGAAGTCAAATTGTCTCTATTTGCAGACGACATGATTGTATATCTAGAAGACCCCATCATCTCAGCCCCAAACCTCCTGAAACTGATAAGCAAGTTCAGCAAAGTCTCAGGATGCAAAATCAACATGCAAAAATCTCATGCATTCCTATACACCAATAACAGACTTAAAGAGAGCCAAATCAAGAACGAACTGCCATTCACAATTGCCACAAAGAGAATAAAATACCTAAGAATACAACTAACAATGAATGTAAAGGACCTCTTCAAGGAGAATTGCAAGCCACTGCTCAACGAAATAAGAGAGGACACAAACAGATGGAGAAACATTCCATGTTCATGGTTAGGAAGAATCAATATTGTGAAAATGGCCACACTGCCCAAAGTAATTTACATATTCAATGCTATCCCCATCAAGCTACCAATGACCTTCTTTGCAGAACTGGAAAAAACCACCTTAAACTTCATATGGAACCAAAAGAGAGCCCGCATAGCCAAGTCAATTCTAAGCAAAAAGAACAAAGTGGGGGGCATCACACTACCAGACTTCAAACTATACTACAAGGCTACAGTAATCAAAACAGCATGGTACTGGTACCAAAACAGAGATATAGACCAATGGAACAGAACAGAGGTCTCGGAGGCAACACAACATATCTACAACCACCTGATCTTTGACAAACCAGACAAAAACAAGCAATGGGGAAAGGATTCCCTGTTCAATAAATGGTGTTGGGAAAGCTGGCTAGCCATGTGCAGAAAGCAGAAACTGGACCCCTTCCTGACACCTTACACTAAAATTAACTCCAGATGGATTAAAGACTTAAACATAAGACCTACCACCATAAAAACCCTAGAAGAAAATCTAGGCAAAACCATTCAGGACGTAGGTGTAGGCAAGGACTTCATGACCAAAACACCAAAAGCATTGACAACAAAAGCCAAAATAGACAAATGGGACCTAATTAAACTCCACAGCTTCTGCACAGCAAAAGAAACAATCATTAGAGTGAATCGGCAGCCAACAGATTGGGAAAAAATTTTTGCAGTTTACCCATCTGACAAAGGGCTGATATCTAAAATTTACAAAGAACTAAAACAGATTTACAAGAAAAAAACAAACAAGCCCATTCAAAAGTGGGCAAAGGATATGAACAGACACTTTACAAAAGAAGACATACGTGAGGCCAACAAACATACGAAAAAATGCTCATCATCACTGGTCATCAGAGAAATGCAAATCAAAACTACATTGAGATACCATCTCACGCCAGTTATAATGGCGAACATTAAAAAATCTGGAGACAACAGATGCTGGAGAGGATGTGGGGAAATAGGAACACTTTTACACTGTTGGTGGGAGTGTAAATTAGTTCAACCATTGTGGAAGACAGTGTGGCGATTCCTCAAGGACCTAGAAATAGAAATTCCATTTGACCCAGCAATCCCATTACTGGGTATATATCCAAAGGATTACAAATCGTTCTACTATAAGGACACGTGCACACGAATGTTCAGTGCAGCACTGTTTACAATAGCAAAGACCTGGAACCAACCCAAATGCCCATCGACGATAGACTGGATAGGGAAAATGTGGCACATATACACCATGGAATATTATGCAGCCATCAAAAACGATGAGTTTGGGTCCTTTGTAGGGACATGGATGAACCTGGAAACCATCATTCTCAGCAAACTGACAGAAGAGCAGAAGATCAAACACCGCATGTTCTCACTCATAGGCGGGTGTTGAACAATGAGAACACATGGACACAGGGAGGGGAGCACTACACACTGGGGTCAGTTGGGGGGAAATAGGGGAGGGACGGTGGGGGGTGGGAAGCTGGGGAGAGATAGCAAGGGGAGAAATGCCAGATGTAGGTGATGGGGAGGAAGGCAGCAAATCACACTGCCACGTGTGTTCCTATGCAACAATTTTGCATGTTCTTCACATGTACCCCAAAACCTAAAATGCAATAAAATAAATAAATGGAAAAAAAAAAAAAAAGTCCTAAAGAATCTACAAAAAAAAGATAGAATAGAATTTAGGAAAATTGCATTAGATGAGTTCAATGTGTAAAAATCAATTACATTTCTATAAACTAGCAACAATTAGAAAATAAAAATTTTAAAATACCATTTTAGAGAAGCGTCAAAAACATCATCTATCTAAAAATAAATGTAATATTAAAAGATCTATAAGAGCACTACACTATAACAGCAACCACAGGCACGGCTGAAAGAACCTAATGACATAAATAGAGACATGCTGTGTTCATAGATTAGAAGATTCAGTACAGTTAGGGTATCAGTTTTCTTCCCAAATTGATTGACAGATTCAAGGTGATTTCACCCAAAATTTCAGTAGTCTTTTGGTAAGGAATTGACAAGCTGATTCTAAAATTTATATGAAAACACAAAGAATCTAGAATCGCCAAAATGATCTTGAAAAAAAAATTAAGTTGGAAATCTTATACTAACTGATAACAAGACTACTATAAAGCCTCAGTAATGAAGATAATGCTGTACTGGCATAAGGATAAAAAAAATTATTGAGCAGAAAGGGAGGCTAGAAATTATCCTGGATCCATAGAGTCAACTGAGTTTTGAATAATGCAATAGGAAAAATAAAGTCTTAACAAATGGCGTATGAAGTGGTTATCTGAGGATCTCAACTGAACCACAACCCCAACCTCATTCTGTACATAAAATTTTGAGATTAATAGTTTTCTTCAAGTTAATTCTATTTAACAAAGAAAAGATATCACTGAGAGTGCAAGAGAAAGAAGGTCTTGATTGTTTGAGGAGAAGGTATGACAGAGTTGCCTAGAAAAATAGTAATGGACCAAGAAAATGTAGTATATTTGTTGGCAGAATTAAAGCCTCATTTTTGGGATTTTTTCCAATGAGTATGAAAGACATAACCATGGAAAAATAATGTAACTTTCTGTGTTTTAGTTTTCCCATCTGAAAATAAATACCTCCACAAATAGTTGTTGAATTAAATGAATTAACATATACAAAACATTTAGAACAGTGATTGGCTCAATAAATGCTATCTAATTGGTTGTTGCTATATTATTAGTATCATTTAGATAGGTCGTTATTAAAATGGTTAAGACTACGAACTCTGAAGCCAGTCTACACTATTTAGGATCTAAGCTCAGCTCCAGTACTTACTAACTATATGAATGACCTGAGAAAGCCATGGAATCTCTCTGTGCCTCAGTTTCCTCATCTGTAAAAAGGGAATGACAACTATAATCTACCTCATGGAGTTTCTTTTGTGGGGATAAAATTAGTCAGTATGTGTAAAATACTTAGAATAGTGGTTGGTAATTGTTACTCATTGATAGCTATGATTAAAATTAGTCCTGTTATCATTCTTAAGACTGTCCTAAATTTATCCTGCAAATATTAGCAAAATTCTCGTAGTCTTCCCATCATTTCTTGAGAGTAAACTGGTAATCTGAATAGTGTTCATTAACTCATTTAAACCAGTGCAATTCAAATTAGGTAACATATCCAAGGTCACCAGCTAGTAACTATAACATAATAAACATTTACTATCATACTGCTTCTTAACGCACAATATAATTCTGTTCTAAAGAGAAGTTAATCAAGTACAGGTATTAATATATTAAATTACAAATTAGCTATGAAAGCTGCTAGTTAAGTGAAGTTTAATATACCTTAAAACTAGTAATAAAACTTGAGGAGATAATCCAAAAAAGTGTTGGTGGTAACTTTTTTCCCCTTTTTGAGTACACTGTTACCTTAATTATAAAAACAGAAAAACTGGACTACTATTGATAATACTGATATTAGAAGTATGTGCCTCGAAAATTTAGACATTTTAATCTGCAGTTTGTTTAATCTCAGTAAAAATATTATGTTGCAATATGTTTAAACAAAAAAATTAAAAATAGTACCTGATTGTCCTGTGTTCTGTTGATAGCTGTATCATCTTCATTTTTCCAAAGACACTGACTTAAAGGAAATGACAGATTTGAAAGTCATATTAAAATATGATCCCATGAATATTAGCTTTTCATATTTTATGTATTTTATTTGATGCTCTATAAACACAAATATTGAAATTTTCAGTCAGCCTGAGACCATTATCATATGTTCTTTCAGACTCATTAATGATTCATGTAAAGCTACATTTAGTATGAGTAATAAAATCATATTTCATTTATTATAGCTAAATGCTAGTTCAATATCTATAGCAAGATAAAATAACTGAAAATTTTAGAAGCATATTTGTTTATAGTCCTATGGTAAGTAATTGTTTATAGAAATCTGTATTTTAATTTCAAAACACTGTGTAAAACTCTTGCCTAAGTACTATACATTTGAATGAAATGATACCAATGGGAAAATAAAGCATATTGATTAGTTTACCTATAACTAAGAACAGAGGCAGAATAATTAGTTCTAATGAAGGCAAACAAAGAAATTTTTCTGTCATCAAGTTGTTCCAATGATAAAAATATTACAATAGAAACAAATCTAAGTTATAAATTATCCCTCATTATCTAGGAAAGGAATGTTAGCAAAAAACAGTAAAGATCAGAATCAAGGTAATTTTAATTAAAATATCACTAATTTCACTCATATCTTTAAGTAGAAGTCTTTATAACAGTACTCTGAATATCTTTCTCTTTTTTTATTGTTTAGATTATAACATGTGGAATCAGCATCTATACTTAATTACCTTTTTTTGATGTCAAAATAATCATTATCTGAATCTTCCAATGATCTTGGCAACTCAGAATTTCCAATTTGATTTTTTGCAATCTGGCTTTGTTCTGCAGTGGCTTTTCCCCCAGCTGATGCTGATGGTCATCCATAGCAAATAAAGTTTGGAATGTTAAGAAAATGCTAAAACAAAATTTTGTTTTTACATGTATACATTATAATCTTGTCCTATGGTTCAGAATCCCCATGAACTTTACTATACAGATATAAGGCAACAGTTTCCAAAGTGAATTTCATGAAATATTAGTTTATGTGAAAAGAAAATTCTTTGGTTAATTTAGCTTGGGAAATGCTGAATTACACAACATCAAACAGCAACACAATCCCTTACACACACAGTCACTCCTATTGCAGGGTTTCTGTCTCTATGTACAACTAAATCTGCAAGACGGGGTAGGTAAGTTGGGGGTTTCCTGAAATTTAATTGCCACCTTTTTTTTTTTTTTTTTTTAAGGACAGAGTCTTGCTCTGTTGCTCAGGCTGGAGTGCAGTGGGTGCAATCTTGGCTCACTTCAGCCTCTGCCTCCAAGGTTCAAACGATTCTCTTGCCTCAGCCTCCCAAGTAGCTGGGATTACAAGTGTGTACCACCACACATCAGTAATTTTTGTATTTTTAGTATAGACAGGGTTTCACCATGTCGGCCAGGCTTGTCTTGAACTCTTGACCTCAGGTGATCCCCCCACTTTGCCCTTCCCTGATGCTGAAATTGCAAGTGTGAGCCACCGTGCCTGGCCTTAATTGTCTTTAGAAACCCGTATGCCAAAGCATTTTTTGAAAAAGTGCTTTGAGTCTACGGCCATACCACCCTGACGCGCCCAATCTTGTCTGAAAAAGTGCTTTGAGGAAATTTCTCTGGAAAATGCTGGTATAAATACAGAATGTAAAATATCATGTTATTTCACATACATTTTCATTGATAAAATCTCCCTTCATTTTAACAGAATTTCTTAATATAGGAAAATTACACAATCTATCTTTAAAATATTAACACTAATGTTCTACATGGTCTGTATAAACAAAAGATCCATGAATCTGGCAGTATTAATGCAGATTTTTTTTTCCCTTGGAGAAATCAATTTTTTTTTGAGAGAGAGTTTCACTCTTGTCCAGCCTGCAGTGCAATGGTGCAATCTCGGCTCACCGCAAGTTCCACCTCTTGGTTCAAGTAATTCTGCCTCAGCCTCCAGAGTAGCTGGAATTACAGGCATGCACCACCGCGCCCAGCTAATTTTGTATTTTTAGTAGAGATAAGGTTTCTCCATGTTGGTCAGGCTGGTCTCTAACTCCCAACCTCAGGTGATCCACCTACCTCAGCCTCCCAAAGTGCTGGGATTACAGGTGTGAGCCACCGTGCCCAGCTCACTTACTCTTTTCTGAATTTTTTTTAATTCAGAAAATAAGCCAAATTCATATTTGAAAAGTCATTTTACAAGAGTTGTTGCTGGGCATGTTGACTCATGCCTGTAATCCCAGCATTTTGGGAGATGGCAGAATATCTCGAGCCCAGTAGTTGAAGACCAGCTTGGTCAACATCTCCACAAAAACAAAATAAATTAGCCAGGCATGGTGATGCATGCCTGTGTTCCCACCTCCTTGAGAGACTGGGGTGGGAGGATGGGCTTGATCCTGGAAGGTCGAGGCTATAGTCAGCCATGATCACACCACTGTTCTCCAGCGTGGGCATCAGAGAAGACCTTGTCTCAAAAAAAAACAAAAAAAAAAACAATCCCCCACCCAAAGCTCCCAAAATACAAAAAATAAAGAAACAAAAGACTTGCTACAATATTTTGCAACCTGAAGCCCATATTGGTTTTAGTTTGGCTGCTACAATTTATTTCCCACCTGGCACTGAAACCATCACTTAAGAACAACAAACAGAGGCTGGGTGTCGTGGCTTACGCCTGTAATTCGAGCACTTTGGGAGGCAGAGGCAGATGGATCACCTAAAGTCAGGAATTCAAGACCAGCCTGGCCAACATGGTGAAACCCTGTCTCTATTAAAAATACAAAAATTAGTCAGGTGTGGTGGCATGTGCCTGTAATCCCAGCTCCTCGGGAGGCTGAGGCAGGAGAACTGCTTGAATCCAAGAGACAGATGCTGCAATGAGCCAAGATGGTGCCACTGCACTCCAGCCTGGGCTTGAGTAAGACCCTGTCTCAAACAAAACAAAACAAAACAACAAAAGAAATGGATTTTCTAAAAGATCTATATAACGCTAAATGAATAAAAAATGGACATACCAGTTGTGTAAAGCTAATAGTAAACTACAACACCCCTACCCACCCATAAAAAGAAACAATAATGTAGGACTCACTGTTTTGAGAACTGCAAAAAATACATATTTAAAATATGATACAGTCACAGAAAAAGGAGTGATAACCGTGAACCTAAGTTTTGAACTATAAGCTGTTTGGTGTCAAAGGAGAGAGTAGGAGGAATTTAAGCAAAGAATATGGTATGTGCCAGGAGCAGAATACAATAATGTGTGGAACATTTTTTTTATATGTAGTGAAAAGTTCAGTATGACTCTAGCACAATGTTATACAGCATGGGCTTTACTCAAACACGCAAGAGCTGAAGTCCTGGCATGGCCATGTATGACTTTAGGTAAGTTATTTCTCTTAACTTCTGTTTCCTTATGCCTAAAATGGCATAATGCATGTAAAACACCTAGCACATTGTCTAATCCTGAGAAGTTTCCTAAGTTTAAGTTCTGATTTATATCCCACTGCCATTTTCCTAGTCCTTAAGTCTATTTTCCATCTTGTCACCTAAGTTTTTTTCTAGAACTAAAATCCAATCATGCCACTCAGTTAAAATCTTCAGATGGCCTCCCATTACCTACTAAACTCTTTAGCTTTGCAAGCAAGGCTCTTGTAGTTCAAGTCCCTACCTATCTCTCCAGAAGTGCCAGTTCATATTACTTCTCCCTCCCTTTCCTACCCTCATACTAATATTAGTATTACTACTACTACTAATAGATAAAAATTATTGAACTAATCATATTAAGTAAATCCTGAAAGCTTCATTCATATCATGACGGATGAGAAGGAAGCCTTCTGGAGGTAGTCACTAAACAATCTGTATAGTCATACACTGTAGCCCAGGGTTTGAAAAGTTCTATATGCCATCTTAAGAAGCTTAGGCTTTGGCCGAGTGCTGAGGCTCATGCCTGTAATCACAACACTTTGGGAGGCCAAGGTGGGTGGATCACCTGAGGTCAGGAGTTTAAGACCAGCCTGGCCAACATGGTGAAACCCCGTCTCTACTAAAAATACAAAAATTAGCTGGATGTGGTGGCAGTCACCCGTAATCCCAGCTACTCAGGAAGCTGAGACAGGAGAATCCCTTGAATCCAGGAGGCAGAGGTTACAGTGAGCCAAAATCATGCCATTGCACTACAGCCTGCATGACAAGAGTGAAACTCTGTCTTAAAAACAAACAAACAAACAAACAAACAAAACAAAACAAAAAAACCAAAACTTAGGCTTCAAATAGGAATTGATGAGTCTTTCAAAGGTTTTTAAACAGGGTGATACATAATCCAACTTTTAACAAGCAGAATGATACTGACAACACTATAAAGGCGATTACAACCAAGGAAGCTAGACAAGATTTTTTTCTTTTCTTTTTATCAGCTTTCTCAGGTTGAATAGATGTTTTTTAAGGTTTCTTTACCCTAAGAATCCAAGAATTGTACAATAATGATAATTTCAAAGCTTAAAGTCTGAACTGGAAGAAGTATGAAACCAAAGAAAAGTCAAGATAGCGTGGTGGTTTGGGACAATGATGGAGTCAAGTAGTAAATATGTTACAGCTGAGGCATTTCATAAATATAGAAATGTGCAGCACAGATCCCTGGGAAAAAAACAGAAGACAACAACAGAGGAAATACCCATTTCAGTATAAAAGTGGGGAAAGCAATACTTCTTTTCTCCCTCTGTAAAGTACTTGTGAAAACATAAAGTGTGTATATTCTCACCAGCCTTATTTTTCCAAAGAAGGGGGGATTCTTATCTTACCCTATTCATGTTTCTTTCAGATTTGATGAACAAAGCCAATTCTCTTGGACATGCACATTTAGGACTTGTGTACAAAGAAGCATGAATAGGGTAAGGTAAGAATGAATAGGGAAAGTCAGAAAACTGGAAGAAAATGATCCTAGATCTGCTAATCTCTTGCATGAAACAGACTAGTATTTTTCAAATAACTTCTTTCTTGTTCACTGCAAAGAAATGTAAATACAAAGTTTTATATTATGGCATTAAACACATTTACAAGTAACATGCTATTAACTGATGAGCCAAACTATACTATACAGTTGGAAAACTCCCAAGGAATATGTTATTTGGTCAAATATAAAGCTGTTGACTCTGCTGTTATTGAAAACCGGCTTATTCACAAAAATTTCTAATAGCAAAATGAAAGAATAGCAAGATGTACAATTAAAAAGCATTTCAAAATATAAACATTGTATAAAAACATCTAAAAATTACTTAAAAGCATATTACCTATGTTCTCCCCCAAATTCATTATTTATCATAAATTTATCATCTAAAATGTCATGTTTCAGAAGGGATACCATCTGTTATCATTTTTATACCATTACAGTTATTGTCTAAGAACACAGTAATTGATTATATATTATTTACTCATTGATATGTTAAGACAGTTATTAATTTGCAACAAATGCTTATTGAGGACTGTGGTCTAGGCATGTGTTCGACTCAGAGTAAGTAGCAATAAATCCTTGTCCTCAAATACTTTATAATATTTATAAAAAATTTTTTAAAAGATTTCTTTTCAACAAAATGACCAATAAACCACAGAGGAAATAAAAGCTCAAACCAAAACTATTGGAAAAGATTACATGTATTTGTTTTTGTGGTGACTTACAGATAAAAAACATTTTCACATGATACCCAATTTTGAACCTCACAATAAATAATACTGAATGGGAAATCACCTTGCCAGACATATAAAAAATATTGTCAGTACTAGTTCAGAAGATGGATAATGTCTGAAAGTTGTTATGTATATATAAGAATATATATATCATATATATCATATATATATATATATATATATATATATATAGTGTGGTAAAGGTGTCATTTGAAATCTGTGGGGAAGGAATGAATGATATTTTGGGATAACTGAAAATGTATTTGGAAGGAATCTATAGTACCTTATTCTCTGTATTTTCTAGAATGTGGGGCAGAGAAAAAAGAAGACAGAAAATATATGACACAATGGCAAGATTATGGTTCAACAGAACTTTTAGACATTGCTGCTGGGTACAACTGCCTTGGAAACACACGGATGTTGTTTAGTGAAGTTGAACATTTACACGAACATGAACAATGAATAATGCCAATTCTCTTGGACATGCACATTTAGGACTTGTGTACAAAAATGTACATAACAGCAATTTGTAATAGTTCAAGCTGCAAACAAATCAAATGTCCATCGGCCATAGAATAGACAAATAAATTGTAATATAAATTGTATGAATATAAAATGGAACACAACAATGAAAATAAATAGTGTTACATGTGATGGTATGACTCTTACAATGTCGAGTAAGAGAAGCAAGTCCCAAATTATATACATAAATAGAATTCAAAACAAAACTAAACTGTATTATTAAGGGATATATATCTCAGTTGTAAAACTACAAGGAATTCCTATGATCAAAAGAATCACAGAGTAAAAAGACAAACTACAAATTAAAGTTAAGAAAACAATTCAAAATAAGGACTATTACCAGAGATAAAGAGAAACATTACATCATAAAGGGGTCAATTTATCAAGAAGACATAATAATCCTAAATATGCATGCATCTAATAACAGAGTTTCAAAATACAGAAAGCAAAAGAAAAGCAAGAAAATAATTACCATAAAAATCAAAGTAGTAGTTATTTCTACTGGAGAAGGAAGAAGTATGACCAGGGAAAAACATACAAGGTTGGAAGTTCTAAGAACAATGACAGTACTACATTACCTTAGAAACAGCAGTTAAACTTCTAAAAGCAATAGGAAAAATGCATGAAACTGCATTTAGAAAAATGTTGCTCTGGCCTGGAGTGGTGGTTCACACCTGTAATCCTAGCACTTTGGGAGGAAGAAGTGGTTGGATCACCTGAGGTCAAAAGTTCAAGACCACCCTGGCCAACATGGTGAAAACCCATCTCTACTAATAATACAAAAATTAGGTGAACATGGTGGTGTGCACCTGTAGTCCCAACTACTCGAGAGACTGAGGCAGGAGAATTGCTTGAACCTAAGAGGTAGAGGTTGCAGTGGGCTGAGATTGCACTCCATCCTGGGCAACAGAGTGAGCCTCCATCTCAAAAAAAAAAAAAAAAAAAAAAAAAAGTTGCTGATTGCACTATACATGACAGCAAAAACATTAATAAAGGGTTGGGGAAGTAAATTATGACATAGGAACTTCTATAATGATATAGATCTATATTGATATAAAATGTTTCTACTTTCAAGTAAAGGAGGCTTTAAGAGTCTATGTGTGATCATTTTTGAAAAATAAAAAATACATTATATATATAAGAACTGAAAAATAATAACTGGAAGAATATACATCAGAATTCTAAGAGAAGCTATCTCTGAGTAGTAAAATTATCATCAGTCTTTATTCTTTACATTTATTAAGTAAAAGTATACTTTATACTTATTTTCTTTCTTATACTTACTGATGTTTCTAGAACTTCTGAAAATGAGCACACACTGGCCTCTCATTTAAAGCATAATCTTTTTGGAGTAAAGCACCAAGAAATTAATAACATTTCAAAACTGTACTTGCAAAGAATTCACAGAATTAGAAACTCACTCCCACCAAAGTTGGTTTATTTTTTTGTTTTTGTTTTTTTGGTGAGAGAGTTTCATGCAAATAGCGTAATTCAGAAATTTGGCTAATAGCCCAGGGTGTGAAATATGATGCGTTATTCTCAGTATGCATGGCAATTTCCAACTTCATTAGCCACTTGACCTTGTACTACTAAGAAATACTAGGACTCAAGACTGAATTTTTGTTTGCTAGGTGTTTTTTCCCTTAGCAGAGACATATCCAGACAAAGAAAGTAAAGATTCTCACTGAGCATCTAACTGGTATCAAGTAAAAAACAATAAATATTAAATGTGCCTAAGATGAAAGAAAGTACTAACTTTGGAACATTGCTGGGTTTAGCATAAATTTAGAATAAAAGAAATGTAACTGATTAAGAATTCGTATATTCTACAGCTTTAATGGATGTTGTCTTTAGTTTCTGGGGGGATGCATTTCATTTGTACATGTTTAGTATATTTGTTTTTCCCTCACAGTTTATTTTTTAATGTAATATGGTAAAAAAAAAGTTCAACTAATTTTTTTTCCTATGATTCTTAGAGTATAGTTAGCTTTATGTATTTATGTTTAATTTTTATTTAAACATTTAAAATTATTATTATTTTGAGACAGGGTGTCTGTCACCTAGTCTGGGGTGTAATGGTACAATCTCAGCTCACTGCAACCTTCCCCTCCCTGGCTCAAGCAATCCTTCCATCTCAGCCTCCTGAGTAGCTGGGACTATGGGCGTGAGCCACCATACCCGCCTAACTTTTGCATTTTTTTTTTTTTGCATTTTTTGTAAAGACAGAGTCTTACCATGTTGCCCAGGCTGGTCTCAAACTCCTGGGCTCAAGTGATCCACCCACCTTGGCCTCCTAAAGTGCTTATTACAGATATAAGCCACCATTCCTATCACTTTTGAAGAATCAAATTATTAGTAATTGTTAGTAAATTGATAGTTATAATCAGAAAAAAATTTTAAAATTCTTTGAAATACACATGTTCCCCAACATTAAAGCTTTTTGTTGTTGTCTGCCTTGGTTTGATACTGTTTTTTTGATTCTTCTGGTCCCTGAATAATACCAAAGTTTTATGCAGTCATCTTTCCTTTCTCTTCCCCTGTAGCTTTACTTTTATCTAAAATTATTTTATTACAAAAGAAGTAGGTGGTAGAGTTCATCTAAGTGCTGTAACTATTTTGATTTTGTTTTTATTTTAACATAGTACTTAATTGTTTTCTTTTCCTCTCACCTGGCAAAATTATTTTTTTAGAAATCCCCAAGTGAAATTGCAGCTTTCTTTTTATACTGCCTATATTTGTAAGGCTAGGTTTGCTCAGTGTTTGCTTACAGACCTGACTGCTAAAATATACTATAATAGCCTCTTTTTCCCATTTCAGTTTAAAATCACCTTCTTCCTGTTTCTTGTTAGGAAGCTCTTTCAAAGTGTTTTCTAACAAACTGGGATCTCTTCCAGGTTCCTCCTTGAACAAAGTTACACTAATTGGTCTGTGGATTGTTCCATCAACCTCAGTACCACCATTATTAGTCTGCTGCTCATCTAAAATAACTGTTGATGATGGTGAATAAACATTTCCTAAGTGGTCCATTATAGGAAGCAAATATAATTCTGGTTGAAGAGCCTAAAACATACAGGAAATTTAAAAAATTAGTTTGTAATTAAAACAGTGCTGCAAGTTAAAAACTAGCATAAGTTTAAAATGCCATATTTACATACATATGGAGGAGTAAATGATCTGAGTTTCAGTTCTGATTCTTGCTTTTCCTTCACCTAGAAATAAGTAAATGAGAAAAAAAATTAAAGCTTTTGCTACATTTTTTTCAATTATTTTTACCTCTACTTTTTTTTGCAGAAGGCATATATTTGTGGCTAATATAAAAATCAAATTTAGAAGCTAGGAACTCCAGGTAGATTCTAGAAAATGCAGAATATAATGTTACTTTTATTCACTGTATCAAACAGATATTCTATGTCATTTACTAATAATAACTATGCCTATCTCTTACATGGACTTACTATGTGCCTGGCACTATTCTAAGTGCTTTACACTTAGTAAACATTGTATAACTAGGAAATCTCCAAGTTGGGATTCAAAGCCAGGTCATCTGACCCCAGAGTCCAACCTAGTAAACTTTATTTCTTATATATTCAACCCTACAGAGTTCATTTGTTATTTATTTCACAAATATTGGGGGACTGGGCATGGTATCTCACATCTGTACTCCAGCACTTTGGGAGGCCAAGGTGGGCAGATCACTTGAGGTCAGGAGTTTGAGGCCAGCCTGGCCAACACGGCAAAACCCAGTCTCTACTAAAAATACAAAAATTAGCCGGGTGTGGTGGCTCCCAAAGCTACTTGGGAGGCCGAGGCAGGAAAACTGCTTGAATCCAGGAGGTGGAGGCTGCAGTGAGCCGAGATCAATCCATTGCACTCCAGCCTGGTGACAGAGCAAGATTCTAACAAAAAAACAAACAAACAAATCAAACAAACAGTGAGGGCTTACTATCTGTCAGGCAGTGTTCTACATGGTAGGGATACAATGATAAGTAAGGCAAAATCTCCACTGTTACGGAGCTTTATTCTACTTGGGAAAGCAGATATTAAATAAACACAATTTAGGATGGTGATACATGTTTTATGAAAAGAAAACAGAGTGATGTAATAGAGAGGAACTTGAAAGAATATCTAAAAACTAGTTGGTCAAGGAAAGCCTTTTTGAAAAGATAATACTTGAGCTAAGCCCTGAATTATGAAAAGAAGCAGCCAGTTATCTGAAAATCAGGAGGAAGTGATTTCTAGGCAAGTACAAGGACCAAAAATCAGAAATGAGTCTGCCATATTTGAGGACCAAAGGAAGATTTCTGCAGCTGAAGTATGAAACCAAGGAGAAAATGGTCACAGAAGAAATTTGAGAAGCAGCCTGTTCCTTAGGCCCACATTATCTCTTGCCTGAACCACTGTAAAACTTTCCTACTGAAATCCCTGCTTCTATTTTCTTCTCACTTCAAACCATCCTTCTCGGTGAGGCCCAATTAATTGTACTGAAAGCTCTGATCATGTAATTCTTTTAGTCAAAAACTCTGGAGTTTCAGGAAAAAATCCAAACTATTAATCTAAACTTGAAGGCATTCAAGACCTTCAACAAACAACTTTATAACTTGCTCCTCACTATTTCCTTTCATGTCATCAATGCCCCATTAAAAAATGTACCATTTATTATTTCCGAGTTGTCTGCTTTTCAACTCCTGTGCTTATCCTATTTTCTGTGCTCAGAAAGCTTTTCTCACCCTTCTTCTTTGCAAGAACAAATATTTTTCTTTCAGCATCCAAACTGAAATATTGCTTCTTCCTCAAAGTTTTGTGCCTCCCCTCTTCCCCTGCTGGAAGATTACTTCCTTTTCTTCTGAATACATAAAATATGATATTTTATTTATTTATTTTATATATTTTAATCTTCATCACTACACTGAGCATTCTTTAAGGGCAAGATCCATATCTAGTTCTGTTTTCTAGTTTAGTATGTAGAAAAACATCAATAAATATTTGTTTAAAATAATATTAAAAGGATTTTAGAAATTGACCTAAATTACTTGGAAGTCCCTTGCAATCTGGGATTCTATGATTGCTATTTTGTACATTTATATATCATAAAAAAGAACAAAAAATTATGGGTTGTTAACTTTCTTCTGAGAGGAAAACTGACTTAATGATCAGTAAATTAATATTAATATGCCAAAGGTCATACTACATAGAACTCTGATGACAAAAACTTCTTCAAATTTAGCTACTGAGACTCAACAAGAAAAGAAAACTTCAGGCCAATATCCATGATGAACATAGATGCAAAAATCTTCAATAAAATACTGGTAAGCCAATTGCAACAGCACATCAAAAAGCTTATCCACCATGATCAATCAAGTAGGCTTCATCCCGGGGATGCAAGGCTGGTTCAACATATGCAAGTCTATAAACGTAATTCACCACATATAAACAGAACCAAAGACAAAAGCCACATGATTATCTCAATTGATGCAGAGAAGGCCTTTGACAAAATTCAATAGCCCTTTATGCTAAAAACCCTCAATAAGCTAGGTATCGATGGAACGTATCTCAAAATAATAAAAGCTATTTACGACAAACCAACAGTCAATATCATACTGAATGGGCAAAAACTGGGAGCATTCCCCTTGAAATCTGGCGCTAGACAAGGATGCCCTCTCTCACCACTCCTATTCAATATAGTACTAGAAGTTCTAGCCAGAGCAATGAGGCAAGAAAAAGAAGTAAAGGGTATTCAAACAGGAAAGGAGGAAGTCAAATTGTCTCTATTTGCAGATGACATGATTGTATATCTAGAAGACCCCATCGTCTCAGCCCAAAATCTCCTGAAATTGATAAGTAACTTCAGCAAAGCCTCAGGACACAAAATAAATGTGCAGAAATCACATACATTCCTATGCATTGCTCTTAAAAAGAGCCAAATCAAGAATGAACTGCCATTCACAATTGCCACAAAGAGAATAAAATACCTAGGAATACAACTAACAAGGAACGTAAAGGACCTCTTCAAGGAGAACTACAAGCCACTGCTCAACGAAATAAGAGAGGACACAAACAGATGGAGAAACATTCCATGTTCATGGTTAGGGAGAATCAATATCGTGAAAATGGCCATACTGCCCAAAGTAATTTACATATTCAACGCTATCCCCATCAAGCTACCAATGACTTTCTTCACAGAACTGGAAAAAACCACCTTAAACTTCATATGGAACCAAAAGAGAGCCCGCATAGACAAGTCAATTCTAAGCAAAAAGAACAAAGTGGGAGGCATCACACTACCGGACTTCAAACTATACTACAAGTCTACAGTAATCAAAACAGCATGGTACTGGTACCAAAACAGAGATATAGACCAATGGAACAGAACAGAGGTCTCGGAGGCAAAGCAGCATACCTACAACTATTTGATCTTTGACCAAGCCAGACAAAAACAAGCAATGGGGAAAGGATTTCCTGTTTAATAAATGGTGTTGGGAAAACTGGCTAGCCATGTGCAGAAAGCAGAAACTGGACCCCTTCCTGACACCTTACACTAAAATTAACTCCAGATGGATTAAAGACTTAAACATAAGACCTAACACCATAAAAACCCTAGAAGAAAATCTAGGCAAAACCATTCAGGACATAGCTGTAGGCAAGGACTTCATGACCAAAACACCAAAAGCATTGACAACAAAAGCCAAAATAGACAAATGGGACCTAATCAAACTCCATAGCTTCTGCACAGCAAAAGAAAGTCATTAGAGTGAATCGTCAACCAAAAGAATGGGAAAAAATTTTTGCAGTTTACTCATCTGACAAAGGGCTGATATCCAGAATTTACAAAGAACTAAAACAGATTTACAAGAAAAAAACTAACAAGCCCGTTCAAAAGCGGGCAAAGGATATCAACAGATACTTTACAAAAGAAGACATACATGAGGGCAACAAACATATGAAAAAATGCTCATCATCACTGCTCATCAGAGAAACGCAAATCAAAACTATTGAGATACCATCTCACACCAGTTAGAATGGAGATCATTAAAAAATATGGAGACAACAGATGCTGGAGAGGATGTGGAGAAATAGGAACACTTTTACACTGTTGGTGGGAGTGTAAATTAGTTCAACCATTGTGGGAGACAGTGTGGCGGTTCCTCAAGGACCTAGAAATAGAAATTCCATTTGACCCAGCAATCCCATTACTGGGTATATATCCAAAGGATTATAAATCGTTCTACTATAAGGACACGTGCACACGAATGTTCATTGCAGCACTGTTTACAATAGCAAAGACCTGGAACCAACCCAAATGCCCATCGATGATAGACTGGACAGGGAAAATGTGGCACATATACACCATGGAATATTATGCAGCCATCAAAAACAATGAGTTTGTGTCCTTTGTAGGGACATGGATGAACCTGGAAACCATCACTCTCAGTAAACTGACAGAAGAGCAGAAGATCAAACACCGCATGTTCTCATTCATAGGCAGGTGTTGAACAATGAGAACACATGGACACAGGGAGGGGAGCACTACACACTGGGGTCAGTTGGGGGGAAATGGGGAGGGACGGTGGGGGGTGGGGAGTTGGGGAGAGATAGCAAGGGGAGAGATGCCAGATGTAGGTGATGGGGAGGAAGGCAGCAAATCACACTGCCACGTGTGTACCTATGCAACAATCTTGCATGTTCTTCACATGTACCCCAAAACCTAAAATGCAATAAAATAAATAAATGGAAAAAAAAAACAAACAAATTTAGCTACTGATCCCAAGAGTCTCACATAGCAAATTATAGTGGTAATTTGGAAGAAAATGCCTGTTTTTTCCATTATCATTCATGATTCAATTTGCTCAGTGAACATTTAAACACCTCTAGTGCAAAACACCTTGTTAGGCACTGATTAGAAATACAATAGTGAATAGCATGAATTCCCTTCCCACAAGGAACTATAATCTAATGGTAGAGTTAGATGTTAAGCAAATAATCAGATAAACACATAATAATGATATAATCTGTTAACCAGAGTGAAATAAGACTACACCGCATTTTAAAGTGTTTAAATATAGAAAATCTTGATTAAGGAAATAAAATTTATATGGATATGAGAGACCAGACACATTGAGATGTGATGGCTCGTTAAATTAGAAACTTAGGCTAGGAATACTCTCTACTTAGAGTGTCCTGGCCACTAAGTCATAGCAACTACAAATAGAAGTGTTCAGTAAATATCAATAGACATTGGCCAGGCATGGTGGCTCACACTTGTAATCCCAGCACTTTAGGAGGCTGAGGCAGGCAGATCACCTGAGGTCAGGAGTTCAAGACCAGCCTGGCCAACATGGTAAAACCTTGTCTCTACTAAAAATACAAAAATTAGCTGGGCGTGGTGGCGCATGCCTATAATCCCAGCTACTTGGGAGGCTGAGGCAAAAGAATTGCTTGAACTTGGGAGGTGAAGGTTGCAGTGAGCCAAGACCATACCACTGAACTCCAGACAGGGCAAAAGAGCAAAACTCTGTCTCAAAAAAAAATAAAAAGAAGTTGACACCAAAAAAATACGTTGGAGCCATATCATTTTTAGATCAAATGAGTCTAGCTGTGGTGCCAGCAATGAGAACCCCATTTTTCTCCAGAACACAAACACTTTTTTAAAACACTTAAAAACTTTCATTTAAATTTAAGCATTATATTACTTATATAACATTTTAACTTGGTATTTTTTGCTTTGCAAGGAAATTCACACACACAAAACCCATTATTTTCGTGCCCAATAACATGCCTATGTGACATATGTATGTTTAATGATATTTCCATTTCATTATGATTAAGATTACAAATTTAATAGTACTTTAAGGAGCTGAGTTGAGAAGCATTTAAGGAATATAATTTGAGAAGGTATGGTCTTTCTCAATCAGAAGGAAAAAAAAGAAAACTTACCACAGCTAAATTATTTCCAATGCATTTCAGAAACAAAAATTTTTCTGCAATAGCATCTTCACCCAGGAACTCACCAAGATGCTCCCTCAGGGCTTGTAAAGTAAGTTGAGGAGATACTCTGAAATATTATGATATTCATCTTACAATGTCAAATGAAATAGACTTTGGATATACTAATGATTCAGTAACTTTAGTCAGCTATCTCAAACACAAGTGTTGATTTAATGTGTCAGATATAGTTTAACATATCATGTTTCTACATTGCTGGCATTTTGTAGGTCTTCTGTAAATCTCTCTTAAAATAATTAAAAGTCTGCCTTTAAAATTATGCAAATAAACACTGTTTATAAATGTTTTGTACTGAAAAGGAAAATAACTGTCTCTTTGCTAATCTACTTCCAATTTTTTTTTTTTTTTTTTTTTTGTGACAGCCTCATTCTGTTGCCCAGGCTGGAGTGCAGTGGCGTGATCTCGGCTCACTGTAACCTCTGCCTCCTGGGTTCAAGTGATTCTCATGCCTCAGCCTCCTGAGTAGCTGGGACTGCCAGTGCTCACTGCCACACCTGGCTAATTTTTGTATTTTTAGTAGAGATGGGGTTTCACCAGATTGGCCAGGCTGGTCTCAAACTCTTGACCTTGTCGTCCACCCACCTCAGCCTCCCAAAGTGTTAGAATTATAGGCATGAGCCACTGCGCCCAGCTTCCAAATTTTATTGTGAAAATTTGCTGTGGAATTTATTTACTTTTATACATATATCGAGAAATGATATAGCCACAGATATTTATTAGCTAGTGCTTAAATAATGTTAAAATAATCTAACATCTAACATTGTCAGAGTCCTTATCTTTGCTTATTAGGAACACTTCGCTCCTGAATGTCTAAAATTTAAAGCCATCACTTATGCTATCATTCCAAGTTCTTATTTTTCTAGGACCTTATGAGAAATATTAGATAATTCATTCAATCAACACATATTTATTGAGCACCTACTCTGTGTCAGACATTGTTCCAAGGTATGGGAATATGGCAGTCAACGAAACAAAAATCTCTGCCCTCATGGACTTTACAACCACGTGATGGAATAGGAAAATTAATGAATAAGTAAAAAAAAAAAAAAAAATTGTAATTCATAAGACACTGCTAAGTACCACAGAGAAAAATAAGGCAGAGAATAAAGAAAGGGATTGTAGCAATGATTTAAAATGCAGTGATTAGAGAATATCCACAGAAAAAGGTAATAGGTGAGTAAAAACCTGAAAGAGATGGGAGGGCATATGGTTAGGGCAGAAAACTCATTCTAGACAAAAGGAACAGAAAGTACAACGGTCCTGAGATAGGGCAATGCGTTCCAGAACAGAAAGGAGGCTGATGTGGTTGAAGAAAGTGATGATGAAGATTAGGAAGAGGGGTGTGCTCGAGAGGTAACAGACAGTCAGATCACATAGTGTTACGTGTCTTTTTGTGAATGTGAAAATACACATCTAAATACATATAAACATATTCTTTGTTTATATTTTTAAACAGTTCAGACAAAGAGACATTGTAGATATATTGCTCTAACTACTGTTTTCAGATCTTCAGCAGCTTTCTCTTTCTCTTTTCTTTTTCTTTTTTTTTTTGGGGGGAGTGTGGGGGGCAGAGTCTTACTCTGTTTCCCAGACCAGAGTGCAGTGGTGCAATCATGGCTTACTGCAGCTTTGACTTCTGGGGCTCAGAGCAGTCCTCTCACCACAGCCTTCTGAGTAGTTTAGCAGATTCTTAATTTCAGATAACTTCTCTCTTAATTCACATTGTGTATGATCATAATAACACACAGGTTATACACTGTTTTCTGGGTGGCAGAACTATGGCCAAGTAAGCTATTCCTACAGAACCGGTTTAATTGTTACATAGCACTACATATTGATAGTATTCATTAAGTTAGGAAATGGAACTACCAAATGGACAAAGTATTTTTCACTTATAGTTCTTAAATTTCCAGAAAGCATTTTTCTCTGCAGAAATAAAGACACTTCTTTCAGGCATATTGTTACATCACTATACAACACTTGCCTCAGAAATCCAGCTGAAATGAATCTGTTAACAACTTCTGTTGAAATGGTATTTAGCTTATAGTTCCATGATCCCTCAGGGACATAAAAAACATGAAGTTCCACCAACTGAATAAATTGAGAAGAACATCAGTTAAAATATTTCTAAAGTGAAAAAAAATCAACTATGTCACATATAATCATTTAATAAACACAATTGAAAAAAACACAGAATACATACATTCCTCTGAACAAACAAAAAACAAAATGAACTAAAAATCTGTTCTTAAGTTGGCCACTTGGCACTTGGAGTACATTTTCCCTTGGCAGCAATGGCTATGAGATTATCTCAATATTTTGGCATATGGTGTTCTTTTGTGGCCTGCAGTAAGAATCCTAGGGTACCACGACCAGTTTTCTTAACATCAACCTTAACTTCACCTCACTCCCTACCTGCTCCGTTCCCTTGGAGTGAACTTGTGGAATCAATAGCCTTTGTATATTTTCTCCCTATTACAGTTCTGAAGATTGCTAGCTCTCAGCACCTGCAAAATGCTTAATACCGTGGTTTGGGGAAAGTACTTATTCACCAGAATTCCAGGAAGAATTTATTCCTGACCAAATGAGAAAGGAATGACTGTTCTTACATTGGGCATGTCTGTAAGTATGTCTGTGCTTATATGTAACTATCCACTTTTCCATATGACCTTGAGTAGAATCCTTCTCTTTAGAATATTTATATTACCACAATAGAAACAGAATGATTGCAAATATAGTCTTATCTTTTAGTCAAATTAAGATTGATACTGCATATTAAAAGTCAAAACATTAAAATGAATATACTCTAATGCAATATTAAATATCTGAGAAATCTTTAAAAGTTTGAATATGACCTACTATTAATATCATTAATTTTATAGAAGATAAAAATAATCTTAAACATAAGGTTTTCTTCAAGTTGTTTTTATAACTCAAGGAAATTACTTCTATGCTTTTAATGATGAAATATTAACAATTTAAAATGTTTGTATAGATGTGATAGTGACGTTTGCTATATGTTGCATTTTGAACACTAGAGCACTTAAAAGATTAATCTCTAGCTATACTATTAAACATTTGTAAAACCTTAAGAAATTTAAAGTAAATATGACCTTATCTTTATATAAATGTATTAATATTTTACAGGGGGAAACTATTTCTTCAACTAAACATTTATACACATGCTTCTTAAAAATACACTTTTAATGGTTTTATTTTTTCCAGAACAACAAAACAGTTGAAAAAATGTGGAAAAAATTTTAAGTATATATTAAATCTGACATTATTTTAAGGTTAATATTCTATTTACACCCAAACCCTAATTTATTAAAATCTTACTTTCTTGGCTGTAATGGAAGCTACTTATCAATAATGTTTTCATTAAAATCATTAGCTATTTTAAAAATACATTACAAGGCATGGCACATACTTTTTCTTTTGCCATAGGCTTTAAAATGATTAGAGATGGCACTGTTGGATCCTGTCTCTAATTGAAATATTGACATCTTGTTCAACATGTATTTTTTTGCATTAATACTAAAAATTTTTTTGGTAGCCCCTTAAATTTTTCATCCATGGCAAGTACCTCATTTGCCTTGGACTAGTCCTGGCTCTGTGAGAGATACAGCCAATAAACAATAAATACTGACTTCTAAGAAGTAAAATTTTAAATTTTTTTTAATTAAAAAAATATAATACACTAATAGGTAATATAGCATATTACAAAGTGGTAATTACTAGGAAAAAAGAATAAGTAGGGCAGGGTAAAGAAGAATCAGAAGATATGGGATGGAGAAGTTTTCAGTTTTAAATAGTCAGGGTAGGTTTCATGGAAGAGGTGAGATCTGAGTAAAGACCTAAGGGAAATGAAGGAATTAGCCAAGTGAAGATCTAGAGGGAAAGAGTTCCAGAAAGAGATAAAATAAAGGTATTAAGGTGAGAGCATGTCAGTATGATTGCAGCAGAGAGTAAAGAGTAGAAGACGACAAGTTCAGAAATATAAAGAGGTAGAGGGGAAACACAGAGCACCTTCTGAGCCATTTTCACCTATCAAATGGGAAGCTAACGCATGGTTTTAAGAGAAACATGAAGATCTGACGTATATTTTTATTTAATATAAAAAATTTTAAACATACATACCTATAAAAATAATTATCTCTCTCTGAATAAAACATTTAAAGTAAATCAGACATCATGACAATATATCCCTAAATACCTTGACATCCATATTCTAAAAATAAGGACCTCTGGTAACATAATCACAATTTCATTTTCACATCTAAAAAAAATTAAAATTACTTAATGTCAATTAATATCCAGTCCATATTTAAAATTTCCTAATTGTCCTCAAAATGTTTTCTTAATCTGGAATTCAAACAAGGATCACACACTGCATTTGGTTGATTTTTTTTTTTTTTTTTTTTTTTTTTGAGATGGAGTTTCGCTCTTGTTGCCCAGGCTGGAGTGCAATGGCGCATTCTTGGCTCACTGCAACCTCCTCCTCCTGGGTTCAAGCGATTCTCCAGTCTCAGCCTCCTAAGTAGCTGGGATTACAGGCCCGTGCCACCACGTCCAACTAATTTTTGTACTTTTGGTAGAGACAGGGTTTCACCATGTTGGCAACGATGGTCTCGATCTCTTCACTTCATGATCCACCTGCCTCGGCCTCCCACTTTTAAAAACTTTCTTCTTTGTGTTTTCCAAAACTTTTTTTGCTTTTTTTTTTTTTTTTTTTTTAACATGGTATTGACTTTTTAAGATACAGCCAGTTGTCTCATAGAATGTTCTACATTATGAATGCACTTCATTACCTCTAAGGTGTCATTTAACTTGTTTCTCCAACCTCTCTTATCTCCTGTAAACAGTTAAATATACGGCCTTAAAGTGACACAGGTTACTACTTGGGGCAATAGTATTTTATAAATAGTGCCCTGTATTTTATATTGCATTATATCAGGATATACATAATGCTTTACATTTGAATCTTTCTAAATTTAATTAGTTGGGCAATGGGAATAATAGCTAAAAGAGACTATACGAAGCAAGAAAACTTGTTATAAAGTTACCGGAGTAATTACAGTGTGAGATGATGGTGACTCATGTGCTAGCAGTAAAGTTGATTAAAAAGTAATCAGATTTTGTATATATTTAAAAACTAGAGACAATCCATTGGAAGTGGAGTTCAAGAGTCAAGTAGAAGAGTCAGAGTCAGTCTATTGGAAGTGGAGTTTGAGAGAAGAGTCAAGTAGAAGACTCAAGTATGCAAGAAAAATCAAGTATGACTCCAAGGCATTTGGCCTCAGATACTGAAAGGGTAGATTTGACGTCATCTGAGATGGCAAAAAGTCATGGGTGGTACGAATTTTGGGGAAGGGGAAAAGATTCAGTTTCAGACATATTAAGATGAAATATCTATTGGCCATCCAAGTGGAGATGTCAGTCACTCAGCTGAATACATGCATATGTGAATCTGGAATTTGGGAAAGAGGACTGGGATGGGGCTATAAATTTGGAAATCCTTGGCATAAAGTTGGCATTTAAATAGATTAGACTAGACGAGATCACCAAAGAATAAGTGCAGGTAGAAAAGAGAACAAAGAGCTAAAATATTTCAAAATTAAGAGGTCAGGAAGAAGATGAATACCCAATAAAGATGACTGTGAATGAATAACCAAGAAGGTAAGATGAAAACAAATATAATATGTATGCTAGAAGCCTAGTGAAGCCTATGTCAAAGAAGAGAACATGATTAATGGTGTCAACTGTTGTGAATACATAGGTCAAGAATGTTTAGGATAATAATTAACTAACATATTTAGTAATGAAAAGGTGAATTTATCAAGAATAGTTTTGTTGGAATAATGGAGGTGAAACCTTGATTGCAGTTGGTTTAAGAGAAAACACAGAGAAGGTATTGGGGGTCTGAGATGGTATGACATACTTGTTTAGAAGAGGGGAAGAGTGGGCCAGGCACAGTGGCTCATGCCTGTAATCCCAGCACTTTGAGAGGGTGAGGAAGGCAGATCACGAGATCAAGAGATTGAGACATTCCTAGCCAACATGGTGAAAGCCCATCTATACTAAAAATACAAAAATTAGCTGGGTGTGGTGGCATGTGCCTATAGTCCCAGCTACTTGGAAGGCTGAGACAGGAGAATTGCTTGAACCCAGGAGGCAGAGGTTGCAGTGAGCCAAGGTCGGGCCATTGCACTCCAGTCTGGCAACAGAGTGAGATTCCATCTCAAGTAAACAAACAAAAAAAAAGGAAGAAGAGAGAAAGAGTGAATCAATGAGTGGCAGATAGTAAGACTGCCCACAAAAAAAAGATTCCACTTGAAATTCATGGTCATGAATTTAAAGTGAGAATGGTACTTATCATGGTATAAATTTTTCTCTCTAGCCACGTTCGGCTGCTCAGTTGTAGGTATGGAATAGGTGGAGACATGCATTAACCATGTTTGTTGTATTGCCAAGGAACACAATGAAGTGAGAGAGGGGCAAGAAGTCAAAAGTATATGCAAGGGAGTGATCATGATTGCTCTACGGAACTTAAGCTAGATATGGAGGGTACCACCTTCAATCATACAATTGAGAAATAGTAAAAAAGGTGATAGGATCAATGCATTGGGGGTCCCAATATGGTTGGGGTATTAGAGGAAGTGAGCTAGAGACATGAGAAGTATAATCAGACAATGGGATACACGAAGTTGGGATCATGGTGGAGTCAATAACTAACACTTTATGTAATTCATGTTTTTGCTTTTATAAAACTTCAAAAATGATAAGCAAGTCTTTCTTATATTTTAGTATAAAAAGATTTTCTTACCTCTGATGAGGAAGGTCGACTTGGATTGAGCGACATATTCACTAATGTCTGAATGGGATAATTATCATTGGAATTTTTTTCTTTTTTTACCTTTCTTCATTTAAGTAGTATTAAATAAAAATTATAACTTTTTTTTTGGCTTAAGATAGCATTCCACTCATTTCTGGTCTCTGTTCAAGAAATAAAAAGGAAAACACAAAAGCATTAAATAAACTAAAAATGAAAACTTAGGAATATATACAATCTTCATTATTCTAACTCAAAAGGACATTTACTAGTAAATATGACTGGTAATTGTAATGAAATGACCATAAATGTATAAAACTAAGTAAAGTAATAAATTACCTTATAATGAACTTGTGACCGGGACATATTTTACTACTCTAAATCTTTTCTTGGTTGAAAATTATGTTTACATAAACAGCATTTTACATAAATTAGAAATACACGTTTGGAAGTAGAAAGAATTTATGATTCTTGGTTAGGATCAACTACAAATTCTAAGCATGCCTAAAGTTTTAATTAGCCTCTTGGCTAGTTAAAATGGCTGTAGAATGATGAAAACTGTTTAACCATATACATTTCTTCCTGGGCTTTGATGCCTCAATAATAAAAAACATGATTATTCCAGATGAAAATGCCAATCTTTAAATATGTCAGGCTTCATTTGTGTATTATTTCCTGTATTTTTCCTCAGAGGATTTATGGCAGTTTACCAGAATGTATGATACAATTAAAAATATATAAATGTATTTAAGAAAAATTGAAAAATAAGGTATCTGAATTATTACTCTAAAAGGAATTATCAAAGTAGGATAATTCTTAAGGATATACTAATCGTACTGACACAAAAGCTGAAGCTTTCCTAGATTTCAAAACATTGCTCTTCCTTGGCTTATGTTAAAATAATGATTTAAATCTAACAAAACTTAAAATTCCTCTGATCTGGTATTGATTATAGCTCTACAAAACCGTAACAAGTACTACTAATTGTTTTAATAGTATCAAAATTAAAAGATTATTTCCTGAAATATACAATCTCCTTAGTTTTGCATATTACTTCCTATATTTCTTACAATAATTAAAATGTGATTATTCATTTTGACCACGTCAAACACTATTTTAAGAACACATTAGTACTTTAAGAAAGTATTTATAGATCTATCCCAAAACTCTGTATGCCATTGTATTAATATTAACCTCTATTGTGAACCTAGGGGAACCATGACTCACATACATATATAGTCACTTCATTATTAGGTAAGAATTAATCCATATTAATTATAGCATATGGACATTCATTGATTCATTGGTATGCAAATTCGTAGGCTAAAAGTTTTAATTTCTGTTACATATTAAAATTTGATACTTTAATTCAGAACAATTTTTTTTCTTTGAGACAGTCTCCCTGTGTTGCCCAGGCTGGAGTGCAGTGGCACAATCTCAGCTCACTGCAGCTTCTGCCTCCCAGGTTCAAGCAATTCTCCTGCCTCAGCCTCCCAAGTAGCTGAGATTACAGGCCTGTGCCACAACGCCCAGTTAATTTTTGTATTTTCGGTAGAGACAGGCTTTCACCATGTTGGCCAGGCTGGTCTTGAACTACTGACCTCAGGTGATCTGCCTGTCTTGGCCTCCCAAAGTGCTGGGATTACAGCAGTGTGCCACCCACTGTGCCAGGCCCAGAACAAATTTTTAACTATGCAAACTCAAGATAGATCAGTCAAGACCCGCTTTATTGTTGTCCTGTGGTAAACCTATACAGGACTCCACTATACAGGTTGAGTATCCCTAATTTTAAAATCTGAAATCTGAAATGCTCCAAAGTCTGAAACTTTTTGAATGCTGACATGGTGTTCCAAGGAAATGCTCACTGGTGCATTTTGGATTTTGGTTTAGGGTTGTCCAACCGGTAAGTATATAATGCAAATATCCCAAAATTTGAAACAATCTGAAATCCTCAACATTTCTGACCCCAAGCATTCTGGATAAGAGATACCTATAGTATCCTTTCTAAAGTAATGGCAAAGAAGCCATGTTTGGGATTTTAAAAACTCCCTTTATCATTTCTGATGGGAACAATGCTGGAGTCCAAATCCTGGGCTGAGCAGAAACAAAATGTTCTGACATGAAAAGATGATCCCTTGGGAATTGGACCTGGGAAAGAGCTCAAGATTCAAGCATTATAGACATTATTAGTAAGAATATAAAAAAGAGAAGTCATGGGGTAGTATCCTAGCCATGAGGCAAGCCCATGTTATAGGAAAGCTATTTATATAGAGAGATAGAAAAAGATAAAGAATAGAGAAAATGACTAAGTAAACGGGTAGTGAGAAGCAAACCAAGAAAGTAACACGGCTGATTCATGTTTCTAACTAAGCACCAGAAAGGAGGAATGGAGAATTCTTGGGGCTGAAGTCTCTAGCCTTAGATCTACTTCCAATTTGGCCTATTAGCGTGACAGTTTTGTTTTGGGATTTACATGGGATATGTGCCTCCACTGCTGCTCTGTGTTGATCTTTACAATAATCTCCTCATTGCTTATGGTAACTTGAGTAAGTCTTTGCTACTGAAACCACAGGAAGCTAATAAAACTTTAGGCATGCTTAGAATTTACTAAATCATATACTATATCCTAACATATAACGTGGAATTTTCACATTTTTTTCCTATTACTAATTAGCTAATGAACCAAATGATGCCAACAATTCAAACAAAAGGAGACTGATATCTCAGTAACCAAAAATAAAGTGACTATGAAGTTCTGGTCTAATCTTTCATTTATTACATAATTTTGCTTTAGAACTCTGCTGCCAGGAATGGAAAATCAATTTTATTGTGCATGCTAATTCCCATCACTTGGTACTATCTAAAAGTGAATTACTAAGTAGGATCCCAAGGCTAAACCTCCTCAGAAGGAAACAGTACAGAATTGAATTATCACAGTCAACTATGCGTTTGAGGAATAACTGTTGGTAGATGTATCACCTATTTGCCATCTCTGATCTAGTCTCTCCTTTCAAAATAGTTATCTATCATGTTTTCTCTGCACTTTTCTAAAATGATTTTCAATGTCAGAAGCAGACCTGAAAATCAAGCTTAAGAACTTCTGACATTCTATTCAGTGTCTAAAAATGATTCATTTTTATTTCCTGTTTGATTTGATAATATGGCATACAAAGACTGCTCAATGTACTTTTTTTTTTTTTTTTTTTTTTTGCTGCTAGTATTGGGATCCCTTTCAGGTATGCTCAATGTACTTTAATAAATGCTGACATTTTAAATAAGAATATAAAAAAGAGAAGTCATGGGGTAGTATCATAGCCATGAGGCAAGCCCGTATTATGGGAAAGGTATACATATTTATAGAGAGATAGAAAAAGAATAGAGAAAATGACTAAGTAAGCTGGTAGTGAGAAGCAAATAGAGGAAGTAACATAGCTGATTCATGTTTATAACTAAGCACCAGCACTTAATAAATGCTGACATGGGCTATGTTTAAATATACCAATAAAGTAGAATCTCACACAAGATAATCAGATTGATTGGGAGCCAGAAAAGCAGGTTTCTAGACCCTTATGACCTGTAAAACCATTCATTGGTCTGAGTGTCAGTTTCTTAGTGGTAAGTGACTCAAACTCTTCAAGAACCTTTGCAGCTCTAAAATTTTTTGATTACTCAAGGAATGCAAGAAGTGACAGGGAAACTTACATTCTGGAATTAAAAAATCAGAATACAGTCAACTTCACGCCTGATGATGGGAGAATTTTTTGGCACAATTCCTGATTCTTAAATCACCAAGGCATGAAATCTATCTGATCAGGATAAATTCAGATTACATATATGTCCTGGGAGTTCTGCTTTGATTCCTGGTTAAGCTGTAAATAAAATTCTAATCCATTTGTTGTTTTTTTTTTTTTGAGATGGAGTTTTACTCTTGTTGCCCAGGCTGGAGTGCAGTGGCTCAATCTCGGCTCACCACAATCTCTGCCTCCCGGGTTCAAGTGATTCTCCTGCCTCAGCCTCCCGAGTAACTGGGATTACAAGCACCCGCTACCACGCCCAGCTAATTTTGTATTTTTAGTAGAGATGGGGTTTCTCCATGCTGGTCAGGTTGGTCTCATATTGAACTCACAACCTCAGGCGATCCACCTGCCTCAGCCTCCCAAAGTGCTGTGATTACAGGCATGAGCCACCAGGGCCACAAATTCTAATCCAAATTCTAATCTGTCTCAGGTAAATAGATTAAAATGCCTGAAATGCCTGAGGGCACTCCAAAATCCATAAGCATTTATAGTAGTCATACTTGTAGGACCAGTTGAGGAATGAGGTTTGTTTTCTATACAGGTCCTAATGTAGACAAAATGGCATACTTGTCTTGATTTTAAATATTTTCAGGATATATTAAGACATTTTAGGGTGGGAGAGGGTCTCCCAGAGAGTAACAGAATGATATAGGATTAGAATCTATGTTGGAAAATGAATTACAGAGTTAGGTTTCTTTTACTTTGTGATTTTTGTGGGCATGTAGTAGGTATATATATTTATGGGTACATGAAATATTTTGATACAGGCATACAATGTGTGAAAATCACATCAGGGTAAACAGGGTATCCATGACCTCAAGCATTTATCCTTTCATGTTACAAAAAATCCAATTACGCTCTTATTTTTAAATATATAAATTATTAACTATAGTCACAATAATTGCACTATCCAACACTATTTTATTCATTTTATCTAACTTATATTTTTGTACCCATTAACCATCCCCAGTCCCCACCCACTACCCTTCCCAGCCTCTGGTAACCATCATTCTACTATCTCCATGAGTTCAAATGTTTTAATTTTTACTGCCAAATAAGTGAAAACATATGAAGTTTATGTTTCTGTGCCTGGCTTTTTAACCTAACATAAATGACCTCCAGTTCCACCCATGTTGTTGCAAATGAGATGATCTCATTCTTTTTTATGGCAGAATAGTATTCTATTGTGTATTTGTGCCACATGTTATTTACTCATTCATCTGTTGTGGACATGTAGGCTGCTTTTACATCTTGGCTGTTGTGAATAGCTCTGCAGTAAACAAGGGAGTGCACATACCTCGATATACTGGTTTCTTTTCTTTTGGATCTCTATCAAGTAGTGGGATTCTTGGGACATACTGAAGCTCTATTTTTAGTTTTTTTGAGGAACCTGCAAGCTGGTCCCCATCATGGAGACCAGCTAATTTACATTCTCACCAACAGTGTACAAGGGTTCCCTTTTCTCCACACCCTCACCAGCATTTGTTATTGCCTATATTTTGCATAAAGGCCAATTTAATTGGAGTGAGATGATATCTTATTGTAGCTCTGATTTGCATTTCTCCTGATCAGTGATGTTGAACACCTTTTCATATACCTGTTTACCATTCATGTCTTCTTTTGAAAAACATTTATTCAGCTCTTTTGCCCATTTTTAAGATGAATTATTTTTTCCTATATAGTTGTTTGAGCTCCTTATATATTCTGGTTATCAGATGGATAGTTTGCAAATATTTTTTTCCCATTCTGTGAGTTGTCTCTTCACTTTGCTGATTGTCTCCTTTGTAGTGCAGAAGTTTTTCTTTTTTGTTTTTATTTTATTTTAATTTTTGAGACAGGGCTTCTCTGTTGCCCAGGCTGGAGTGCAGTGGCATGATCATGGTTCACTGCAGTCTTGATCTCTGAGGGCTCCCAAGTAGCTGGGACCACAGGTACATGCCACCATATCTAATTTTCGTAGTTTTGTCGAGATGGGGTTTTGCCATGCTGCCCAGGCTGTTATTAAACTACTGGGCTCAAGCAATCCACCTGCTTCAGCCTCCCAAAGTGCCTAGATTACAAGCATAAGCCACCGTGCCTGGCCCTGTGCAGGTTTTTAACTTGATGTAATCCCATTTGTCCATTTTTGCTGTTGTTGCCTGTGCTTGTGGGGTATTATTTTAAAAAATCTTCGTCCAATCCAATGTCCTGGAAAGTTACTCCAATGCTTTCCTTTTTTTTTTTTTTTTTTTTTTTTTGTGAGAGATGGAGTCTCACTCTCGGCTTACAGCAATCTCTGCCTCCTGGATTCAAGTGATTCTCCTGCCTCAGCTTCCCAAGTAGCTGGGACTACAGGTGTGTGCCACCACACCAAGCTACTTTTTGTGTTTTCAGTCGAGATGAAGTTTCACTATATGTTGGGCAGGCTGGCCTAAAACTCCTGACCTCAGGTAATCCACCCACCTCAACCTCTAAAAGTGCTGGGATTACAGGTATGAGCCACCATACCCTGCCTCCAATGTTTTCTTATAGTAGTTTCATAGTTTTACATCCTAGATTTAAGTTTTAACCCA